ACTTATGACACTTTGCATAACATACTATGTAGTATTCTCATAGCGGGTCAATCCAGTATAAATATTACTCCTAATATTTATACCTATGTCAAGACTTGATAACTCTTTATCCATGATCCATGAGATGTGATCATCAGTCTATCTTCATAATAGTCTCAATGCTTTTAATGTTATCCCACTTTGCAATAAAGCTTGACTACAGATATTTTAAGAATAATGTCTTTATGTTTAATGGGATCTCATGATTAAGTCACACTTAACATTTCATTAAACAGACTAACTATTCTAGGGACTTTATTATTCTGAAAGACAAACATAATAAAGAAATGTCTTTTATTATTAAACGAATAATCCGATACAAGTACCAAAAAGTATTGGCCTCTAGGGCTTACACCAACACGCTTAGGTATATGATTGAGGTTTTTCGTCATTAGTGATGACCTCAAGGTAAGCTCTATGTTTTTGTGAAACATTATTATAATTTAAAATTTTTGAGATGGGATATGTGATTCCTGAAAAGGATTATGAAATTGATGTCATGCACATGGGGTTTATGTTTAATTTTCCACAATCATAGTCTTTTAGATAATTTGGAGGTCGTGTTATGCGTGAGATGTTCTAAGGCTCCCCCTTATTTGATACTTCTCCTTGCTTTCACTTGATGAATCTTTCTTAGAATCATTGGTGACTTCCTCATTCATGTCATCTATGGATACATGTTCTTACTCTGTAGGCTCACCCTCAATTTGACATGTGTATTCAGGCTCCTTAATGGGTAAAATTTCTATAAAATCTGATGTTTGGTCATTTTGAGGAATTTCCCCAAGGCTTGGTACTTTCATAAAACACTACATCTCTTGATATGCAGCATTCACGAGTCTTTGGATTGTAAACATTCTATTCTTTTTGTTCTTGTGGATAACCAACAAAAATACACCTTTCAGTTTGATTCCCTTTGATTCATTTTTCTTGTAGCACAAGCAACTAAAATTTCTCAAGTACTCATAGTCTGATGCTCTCTTAAAAAGTTACTCATATGGAGGGATTCCCTTACTTGTCACTGTAGGGGTTCTATTGATTAGATAGGCTGCTGTCAATACATAATCTCCCTAAAAATGCAATGAGAGATTTGCTTAAAAACACAAGGCTCGTGATATGCTCAAAATTTGTATATGTTTGCATTTCACATGTCCATTCTATTGAGCTGTGGCAACATAAGAAGTTTCATGCATGATCCCTTATTATTTAGTGAAGTACTTGAAATTAGAGTTAGTAAACTATGTCCAATTGTTACTCCTAATCCTCTTGATATGCATATTAAATTGTCTTTTGATTAGATTTCTAAAACTAATCAAATATTGTAAAATCTCTGTCTTGTACTTCATTAAATATACCCATATGCCACGAGTATAGTCATCTACAATGGTTAGAAAGTAATGTGATCCCTTGTTTGTGGTAATATGGTATTTTCCCCATAAGTCATAGTGAATCAATTCAAAAGGTGTTTCACCTTTATTAATACTTAAAAGGAAATGCTTTCTACATTAGTTTTCCTTGTGGCATACATCACAACAGTCTGCTCTATCAAAATTGTATTTGACTAAATATGAAATATGTTGAAGGACTTGATTTGAGGAATGTCCCATTCTCATGTGCCATAAGATTGCCATGTCCTTCTTATCTTCACCCATGATGCCTTGTTAATGTTGTTATGTGAACATATAAACCTCTTCATGTAGGTCACCTGATCTAATATTCCACTTTGAGGCTTGATTATGCATTGTGCAAGAGTTTTGATCATAAATCACATAAAAATTTAAGTCATATGTTAGTTTATGAATTGAAATCAGATTGCATTTAAAGTTAGGAACCAATAACACATCTTTTAACGTAAGGGAATTTGATAAATTCACATCTCCCATATTTTCAACTAAGATTGAAATCCCTGTTGGTGTATTTATGTAGAAAGGTTTATCTAATTTTCTGATTTTCTTCAATATTGAGGTCAAAGGAGTCATGGGGTGTGAATCACCACTATTAAGTATCCAATTGAAACAATATTCAAATTTATCGGTCATGTTTTCGAGTTTGGAGGTGATTTTCTTTTCCAATATCTCTTCCGAATCAAAACAAGGCTTGGATTCTATAATAGAAAGTTAACTTAAAAAATATGTTGTATTCTTATTGTTTTTTTTATTACACATGACATACCTTTATATATATGCTGATGATCTATCTTTCAGAGCTTGAAAATAGGATCAACCTAACAAACTCTAACAAACTAATAACAAACTATTAAGTGTTTGAAAATAGGATCAACCATAACAAACCCTAACAAACTAACAACAAACCTAAAAAACTAATAACAAACTACCAGAGCTTGAAAGTAGGACCAACCCTAACAAACTAATAACAAACCTAACAAATCCTAACAAATTAATGACAAACTATTAAATTTATCTCTAACAGACATATCTTGTCTTCTCTAGTGTTATTAATACTGATATCGAATGGAATATCATTTGGAAATGAATAAGACCTATCAAATCTAGATATTCAATTGACTTATGGTACATGAGAGACTTTTGACAAACTATAAGCGTCATAAGTGGAACACAACAATCCATGATAAGTCCAACCAGTGTATGGACGCCGAAGAGGCCTTGATTCATATGATGTAGGATTGCCCCTATGCAACACATGTATATATTAGACTTGTTCCTTCTAAGAAAATGACTCAGTGTTACTCTTTTTTTCTTATTGGGATTAAATCTTGTACAATCTCAAAAAAGATATTGCAAATTTTGAGAAAGCACACTAGAGGTTCATCTTTATGATCTCTTGTTGCTACTTGTGGAAGTGGAGAAACAAGATTATTTTTGAAGAGGGCTTTCAGTGTTTTGACAATCCAGCAAAAACAATAATGTAACCGATGAAAGAGATTAAGAAAGAAAATCATATGCATAACAAGATTGAGTTGTTGAAATCGAAGACGAAAAATGTTTTCTAGTATGGTTTAGATGACAATTGGATTTAGTTAATTGTGATGATACATACAAGAGCTTTACGTTCATGGTTGGATGCGACGACTTATTTAGAGACTTCGAGAAATTAGATAATGGGATATGCACGAAAAATGTGTTTATGTGATGCTTTCACTTCTACTTCTAAGATGTGAGTTATGTCGTATGAGATATGGTTGGCCAAAAAAAAGTGTATGGTCATAGTTTTTCGCCCTTAGTACTACCTCCGTCTTATAAAAAGTGTCTTATTTGTATTTTTTTCATATCTCAAAATAAATGTCTCTTTAGAATACTAATACAACATCTATTATTATTTTCCACTATTATAACCTTATTCATTAACTTTCACGTTTTTCAACTATTCCACTAAGACTTGGTTTAGTAAGACATTTTTTGAACTTATATCTTATGACTTATAACTTATAAGCTCATATGACAGTAAAATTCTTGTTTCGTAAAGTCTTTTCATCACGAGCTTATAACTTATTTTATTAGCAAATAGCTTATTTTTTAGACGCTATTTAAAATAGCGTTTTACCTTATAGCTTATAGCTTATTATTTTTTATTCCACTTTTACTCTTATTATTTTAATTAAAACTCACTACTATCATTTATAATATATTATAGTTTAAAATAAAATAATAATAATTAAATATCTTTTATGTCATTTTATTTTATCAGCTAATTAAACCGTTAATTTTATCAAACACTTCAATTAGTTTATTAGCTATAAATCATCTGTCATCAGCTATAAGCTATAAACTATCAGTCACTAGCTATCAGTCATAAGCTATAAGCTATCAGGTAACTTATCAATCAACTGCTATTTTTACTAAATAGAGCCTAACTATAATAAATAAAAATATTTTAGCAAAAAATACTATCCATTTTATCATTAAAATCAATACAACTAATTATTTTTTTTAAAATCTCGCACAACTCAAATAAAATATTTTTTTTTATGAAACGGAGGAAATATGTAGCTTCAAACTTAAAAGAATTGGCACACATACGTGAAGAAAATCATTGGATTGATTAACTATTGTCTTACTTTATTTAAATAACAGTGAACTCTTAATTTTTTCAAATTTACCAACAAATAAATTAAACATCATTTTAATTGTTGATAATAAATTAAACATCATTTTAATTGAGATCTCATTTTTTAAATTTGTTAGAATTTTTTAATTTTCTTCTTCTTTATTCTCTGAGCCTTTAGACATAAAAAAAATATTTTCATCCTTTCATTTATAATTATTTTCTCAATATATATATATATATATATATATATATATATATATATATATATATATATATATATATATATATATATATATATATATATATATATATATATATATATATATATATATATATATATATATATATATATATATATATATATATATATATATATATATATATATATATATATATATATATATATATATATATATATATATATATATTGGTCATTCCAATAAAATTATTCTAGAACAGAGGATGCTCACATGGCAAATCAGAATGCATAGCACACTATCTTGCCTGTGCTTCATTTCTTCAGCATGTTAAACTGTTACTATGCCATCATCAGCACATGCACCTCAACATCTAATGTGACAGAAAATAGAAAAATGAAGATAACACAACAGAGCAGAATAAATAATCACATAAGATTTTACCATTATTTTCAAAGTAATCATCTTTGTACAATATATAGGTGTTAGACTTAGACTCCTCTAATATTACTTTGACACTTGTTCACTTTTCTTTTGGTCACTAGAATACACATAAAATTACACCAATTCAAAGAAATTATATTTACTGTGTAGCATTTCCAAGATTTTTGGTTTGCTATCATTTTGCTCACCAAGAACAACTCATTGAAATACTAACTAAATAAAACTCAACACAATTTGAGCTCATGGTATATTTTTTTGTCACATACCAAATATACTTACTTATTCATGAATATACTAATGTTGATTTTCCTTTGATTCTATCTCATTGAAATAATTAAATCCAAAATCATGAATACCAAAGTCTTGACAATCCAATAGCCAAGCACAATTATCCTCCCAAGAAGGCACAAAATTCATCTCATTTTTTGCATTCTCTGTCTCTGTCTCTGCTATAGGTGTAGCGTCCATTTCCCAAAGTGCTTCCACCAATGGTGTTTCATCTAACCATAAGCTATTCATTAGTGAATCATCACTGCAGAGACTATCTAGCAAGAGAGATTCTTCTCCAGAAGAATTTTCTGTAGGGGGTGAGCTTGAATTCTCTTCTGAGTTCATAACTCCATCAATTTCCTTCACTTCATGGTTGTTCTCTGGCTGTGACAAATTCTCTGCAGGGGATGAAGTTTCATTGGATGATGATGCTTGTTTATTCACAGGCTCATGAGTAATGGGATCAATTCCCATCTTAATTAGCTTTTTCTTGATGTGAGTGTTCCAGTGATTTTTAATCTCGTTATCTGTTCTTCCGGGTAATCTCGAAGCAATCTTCGACCACCTGTCACAACAATCAACCATATATCAAAACCCATTATCAGATTACAAGATTGAAATATCAGTCTCTGCAGCTACGCGCACAGGACATATCATGTTTACAACAAACAAGTAAATAAAAGAGAATTAAGAAATAATGCTATTAATAATATTAAAATTTATAAATTTATATATGTTTATATATTCTAATAAGCAAAGAAAGCAAAATATTCAATTGCTTACACCTCAAGAAAACTCGAGATAAATATATACAGTGTCAATGTCAGATACGGTGTCTCTGGATTACCTGTTGCCGAGGCGAGCATGGAGATCAATAACAAGCTGCTCCTCTACTTCGGTGAGGAGACCTCTCTTTAAATCCGGACGAAGATAATTAGTCCAACGAAGACGACAACTCTTCCCACAACGCCTAAGACCAGCGAGTTTAGGCACAGCGCGCCAACAACATTGTCCATTTGTAAGAATGAAATTGATGAGTTTCTTATCTTCCTCGGCAGTCCAAGGACCTTTCTTCACACCAAGTTTGTCGCAACAAGGTTGTCTCCCCATGATAACTCACACAAGAATAATATTGTATAAAGTCTTTCAAACTAATGCAAAAGTAAAAGTCTCACCAACACTGCCTTTATATATAGCCCTCCCTTTTTTCTATTCTAATTAATTAAATCATAAGAAATAAAAATGTGCATAATAAAAAATGATAAAGATTTATTTAAGAGACAGTGAGAAACAGGAGAAGGTTGGAGGGGTCCATGAATGGGTTGTGAAAGGTATGTGGGAGCTAATATAGGGTATTCTGGTGTTTCCTAGCTGAGCAAAATTGGTGATGCTGAAAGGTGTGTGACCCAATAGCAAAGATTTGTGTGAGGTTATTTATATCTTAAAAAGTGAAAAATGTGTATAATAATGCGTAAAATGATTATGCTTTTTAACATTTTATTTTCCATTACAGATACACTGCCATCATTTCACTCTTACTCAATCATTGCGTCATCATTACGTATGTGTGTCTTTCGTGCTATGCTGAAGGCGATTGTTGGAACTCTATTCATGATCTTGAGTATTCTTCATCAACAAGGTGAAACTTTGATTTTTAATTTTGATGAAACCATAGCTGTTGGATGCTCCAAACTAACTCATCCTACGGTGGTGAATTAAAGGGGTTTATAAAGATAACGATTTTTGTTTATTTCATAGGTTGCTTTATTAAAGAGTAAGTATATTTGAGACATGGAGTATATAATATTACTAGTCCTTAATATAAGAGTTCAATTACCATCTTTTTATATTTTTTTAATTGTAATTTCACATCTTGACAATATATCAATAAAATAATGTTAAATTTTAAATAACATTTTTGAAGTTATTCTTCCATTGGTGGAAACATTAAAACTATAATTATGTGAAATATTTTAAGAGTGAGTTTTACTGTTATGATTCTTTTTGACTCGAAAATATGTAGAAATATTTGGTTTGTAATAAAAAGACTATTACTCTCGCATACTAATATTCATAAAATGGATTGTAATTTTCATTTTTCTTTCTCTAACTTCCCCGTTACCTTTTCTTTATTCATTAGAAAGAATTAGGTTTGGACTTGGACTTATTTGAAGATTTGAAATTATTGATGATTGCTGCAGACAGGCAAATAATTATAAAATTTAATTTTTATATGTGGTATTTAGATTGAACTCTAGTGTCGATAATAATAGTTTTAGAGTTCGGTAGAAGTTGTGTATGTTGTAGTCGAAGTCTGTTAGATCATAATATCGAAATATATTAACTTGTAATTTAAGTTAGTATATCGAATTGTACATTACTTCTAAGCCCAATTGTTAAGTTAACTTATATCATAAGTTAGATAAGTAATCTATAAATAGATTAATTGTCTCAGGTTGATGAAAGAGGTTAATTGTTGGTATTCACTTGTAATCTTTGAACCCTTATTGAAAAAGTGAATAGAAAAACAAATTTAATCAATTCTTCTTCTTCCTTCTTCTCTCTCTTTTATAATACCTAATAGGATTCTTATGTTTGTTCAAGGAACTTAATCTTTTTGTCATATTATGGTTTGTTCTTGACAACATCAATTCACAATAAACTAATATGGTGAACGTGGAGGAGAACATGTCATCAACAAAGTATGAGATTGAGAAATTCACCGGTGTGAATGATTTCGGTTTGTGGCGCTTGGAGATGCAAGCTCTTCTTGTTCCACAGGGTTTTTTTAGAAGCGTTGAAAGGATCAGATAAGATGGATGCTACTCTATCGAAGAAGGAGAAGACAACGATGGTAAAAAAAACCCACAATGCCATTGTGTTAAGCCTCGGTGATAAAGTTCTCCGGCAGGTTTGTACATGACAAAATCGTTGATTAATCGTCTCTACCTGAAGCAAGCTTTGTATTCATTCAAGATGAGTAAAGAAAAATCCTTGGCTGAGCAGTTGGATATGTTCAACAAGTTAATTCTTGATCTTGAAAATATCGAGGTCAAGATTGATGATGAAGGTCAAGCGTTGTTGCTGTTGTGCTCTTTACCTAAGTCTCATGCTCACTTCAAAGAAACTCTCTTGTATGAAAGAGAGTCGTTGACCTTTGAAGATGTTCAATCGGCGTTGTACTATAAGGATTTAAACGAAAGAAAGGAGCACAAGCCATCTTCTGTTGGTGAAAGTTTGTCAGTTAAGGGGAAATTCTTGAAGAAAGATGATAGGTTTGAGAAGAAGAAGGATAAAGTTCTACATAATTCTTATGGTGGTAATGCTCCTACTATTAAGTGTTATCATTGTAAGAAGGAGGTTCATACAAGAAAAGTATGCCTTGATCGACTGAACAATCATAGTGGAAAGAATAATAGTAATGGAGTCATTGTGCAAGATGGTTTTGAACCATCTGATGTCCTGGTGGTTTCAAGTTGTGACTCTAGCAAGGAGTGAATTATGGATTCATGGTGCACTTGGAACATGACTCCAAACAAAGACATGTTTAAAGAATTGTGTGATCAATGTGATGGATCTGTGTGTCTGGGAAACAAGAAAGCTTGCAGAATTACTATTATTGGATCTGTGATATTCAAGCTCCATGATGAGTCAATAAGGATATTGATTGATGTTAGGTATGTACTTGATTTTAAGTGGATTTTTATTTTTCTTGGTGAATTCGACAAGAAATGATATGTTTTCAAAGGAGAGCAAAACATCCTAAGGGTAATGAAGGGGTCGAAGGAAGTCTTGAGAGGCGTGAAGAAACAAGGCTTGTATACCCTTGAGGATGAGATTGTAAGTGATTCAGCCAATGTGGCATCCACAAAACCTGTGTCGAAGATTCAGCTATGGCTCAAGAGACTTGGCCATGTTAGTGAAATAGACCAAGTTGAATTGTCAAAACAAAATCTGCTGGGCGGTGACAAGTTCGAAAAATTGGAGTTTTGTGAACCTTGTGTATTTTGTAAATTCTGTAGAATGAAGTTTAACAAAGGTAAACAAAGAACACATGGATCCCTTGACTACATTCATTCTGATCTTTAGGGGACCTGCAAGGAATCCTTCACACTTAGGTGTAAAATATTTTCTATCCATAATTAATGATTACTCTAGAAAGTTATGGGCATTCATTCAGAAGATTAAAGATGAAACTTTTAAAAAGTTCAAAAGTTGGAAGACTCTGGTTGAAAACCAAACTGTCAAGAAGGTCAAGAGGTTAATGACTGACAATGTTCTTGAATTTTGTAATGGGGCTTTCGACAGTTGTTGTGTTGCTTATGGTATTGCAAGGCACAAAACTACTGCACGAGCTTCCCAACAAAATGGTTTGGCTGAAAGGTTTAATCGAACCATTCTTGAAAGGGTGAGGTGCATGTTGGTAAGTGCAGGATTGAAGAAGATATTTTGGGCTGAAGCTGTTGCGTCTGTAGCATATTCCTTGTATACCCTGAAGAAGATATTAAGAAAATAGATAACATTGACCGAAGTTCAAAGAACTCTGAAGAAGAGATGAAATAGGAAGAGATTCATGTTGAGGTGGAGCATAGTGATGTTGAATTGAATGACCCAGATAAAGTAAAAAAAGAAGCAGAAGCTGCTGTCAAAGATGAGGAGATTGATAATGACTACTTACTGGAAAGAGACAGGTCGAGAAGAGTCATTTAGCCACCTCAGAGACTTGGTTATGCAGATCTCAAAGCTTATGCTTTAATCTCTACAAGTGTGGTTCTTGACGAAGAACCTAGAGATTATGAGGAAGTTACGAGGAGTCAAGATAAAATTTAATGGCTGAAAGTCATGGATGATGAGATGAAATCTCTCCATGATAATAACACTTGGGAACTGATTGAGAAACATGTAGGGGCTATGTTAGTAAGATGTAAGTGGATCTTTAAGGTTAAGGAAGGAATTGAAGGAGTGATATCGAAACGTTTTAAGGCAAGGTTGGTTGCTAAGGGGTTCACTCAGAAAGATGGTGTCAACTTTAATGATGTGTTCTCACATGTTGTAAAGTATAGATCCATTAGAATGTTGTTAGCCATGGTGGAAAAGTTTGACCTAAAACTTAAACAGATGGATGTGAAGACAACCTTCCTATATGGTAATCTAGATGAAACAATATTGATGAGGCAACCTGAAGGGTATGCAGAAAAGGGAAAGGAAGATTATGCGTACAAGCTGAATATGTCCTTGTATGGCCTAAAATAATCTCCTCGACAATGGAATAGGAGATTTGAAAAGTTCACGGTACATATTGGTTTCAATAGAAGCCAGTTCGACCATTGAATTTACTTCAGATTTCGACCTACAATTTCACTTGTTAATTTGTTGCTTTATGTGGATGAAGTCCCATAGAAAGTAATCGTGTTGAAGATGTTATGAAGGTGAGGACTGAACTCGATAAGGAGTTCGACATGAAGGGTCTGTGAGATGCCTCTAGAATTCTCAGGATTGACATCTGGAGAGATAGAAAGTAATCGAGATTATGCTTATCTCAAGAGACATACCTGAAGAAGATTCTCGACAACTTTGGTATGTCGAACTCAAAGATTGTTCTAACAACGACTAATCCTCAGTAGAAGCTAAGTAAGACTCAGTCCTAGTACTGAAGTCGAAATAGCCTATATGAATAGCATTCCATATGCTAGTATAGTAGGTTCTTTGATGTATGTTATGGTCTGTATGAGGACAAACATAACATACAGAGTGAGCCTTGTAAGCAGGTATATGGTCAATCCTAGGAAAACACACTGATAAACATTAAAGTGGATTCTTAGGTACATAAATGGGTCTCTGAGTTGAGTCCTGATTTAAGGTGGATTTTGTGGTGATGATAGCAAAGTCAAAATCGAGGGATTTGTTGACTCTAATTATGCAGGTTGTATGGATCCCAAAAAATCTATTTCTGGATATGTGTTCACTATATTTGGCATATCAATTAGTTGGAAAGCAACACTTCAGAAGGATGTTTCCTTATCAACCACTAAAGTAGAGTATATCGCCCTCACTGAAGCTGTGAAAGAAGCATTGCGGCTTGAAGGTTTTGCTAAGGAGCTGAAACTTCAAGGTCCAGTTATTATTGTTAAATATGATAGTCAAATCGCAATACACCTGTCGAAGAATTCATCTTATCATGAGCAAACTGTTAAGGGCCAAATTGTGCATATTTTTGATAGTATCTTGTGGCCCTTTCCAATTGTTTATTTGGTGTTTTAGTAGTAAATTCGTACGTTTAAGTGTAAATATTCAAGTTTCCAATTTTATTGTAAATATTGTGAATTATGATCATTTTGATGCTTTTTGACAGGTTTTCTTGCTGATATATGATGCTAGGAACCTACGGTGAAGGAAATAAGGCACAAAAGAGCATTTTCGGAGCTTTCGTGTCGGTAAACTGCGCTTAGCACGCGTTTCCAACGCGTTTTCACTGTTGTGGCAGTATCTAAGGCCTTCAACCGTGCTAAGCGACTTCCAACTGCGCTTAGCACGCTTTCTGGGTTTCTGCCTTTGTTTTGCTGACCGCGCTTAACACACTTATGATGGCGCTTACCGCGGTGCCACTTACTACTACTTTTTTTACTTTCTATAAATAGCAACCTTGGGAGATATTTTGGGACATTTTGTATTTTTCAGATCATTTTATCACTCCACATTAAAAAATATAATTTTAGAGA